TATATATATATATATATATATATATATATATATATATAAACACAACATTTTACACAAAATATAGATAAATATATACATATTTAACAATATGTATATATACAGATCTAAAATAAGTGTTAATAACTAAATAAATGCCAATAAATTAGTAGGAATTTACAGAGGATTTATCAGAAATGGATCCCACACAGTATCCTCTCCTTTTTCGGGTCACATGGGACGGCAGCCCTGCTCCTATTGGCCCGTTTCTGACCCTCTCCTCCCGGTTTTTAGGTGTTTACGCCGGCATCAAGTTCTTCATCATCGACTTCCTGTTCAAGAGCTGCCCTAAGCTCCGGGACAAGTACGACACGCCCTTCATCGTGTGGAACAGCCTCCCCACCGACCCGCAGCTCAAGGAGAGGACCAACGCCACCGTCTCCCGCCGGGTAAGCCGTCGCCACGGCAACGGACCCCGACCCGTTCTGCTGAGAACCAGCCGGAGAAAACGGGCCGGCCCCTCCTCATCCCGACTTTGAGGCTCCGCCCCTCTCCTGGACTCCATTTAAGGGCCGTTAAAGGCACCACAGGTTAAACTCCAGCCCAATCTTTTAGATCAGTGTCATAAACTCCTAATATTTATGCTGGATAGATTTTTTACTATTTGATATTTTGACATTTTTGCACTGTTAATAATTACAAAAAAGGCATTGTCATGAGAAAAAAAACTGCTCAGGATTCCCACCACAGGCCTAAAACATCTAAAACTCCACTTTATAGTTATAGTTATATAGTTATATATTTAGATATTTATTCCCTTAAGAATCTCCTAAACTGGAAATCGATATGTTTTAGCAATATTCAGAAAGCTAGCGCTGAATTTCAACATTTTTGTGTTTTTAATCTGGATTTCCCACCAGAGGCCTAAAACATCTAATCTAAACACCTTATAGCTCATTTATTCCCTTAAGAATCTCCTCTAAATGGCTCTATTTGTCATAAACTGAAAATCTACATGTTTTAGCAATATGCAGAAAGCTAGCGGCAAAATTTTTTAACCAAATTTCAAAATTTTTGTGCTTTGAATCTGGATTTTAACATAAAAAACTCCACATAATCGAATAAAATCAAAGAATCTTCCTATTCGTCAGCTCTGTTCCCTCCATCTGCTCAGCAAAAGCCGTTTCCCGCTTCTGAACAGGGTTAGGGTTTCCCTGTTTTTTGCGGGTTTCTGTGGGCCTTTAAAGGCAGCATAGATTAAACACCAGGCAAGTCTTTTAGCTCAGTGTCATTAACTCCTCCATATAGTTTTTGTATTTGATATATTAACCAAAAACTTAACCAAAAAATGCTGCTTGGCTTTCCCACCAGAGGCCTAAAACTAAAACAGTAAAACTCCACTTTATAGCTCTTTTATTCCCTTAAGAATCTCTTCTAATGGCTCCAATTCTCATAAACTGAAAATCGATATGTTTTAGCAATATTCAGAAAGCTAGCAGTAAAATTTTTTAACCAAATTTCTACATTTTTGTGCTTTTAATCTGGATTTTAAC